TAAATGCAACTTTTATCATTTTGCTCTTTCCGCTTAAAAAAGTTAAATAAATTCAAGTGGCGTCTGTTTATCCTTTGTTAATTCTAGTGGTGACTGTTAATACTTCATAAATTCTAGTGGCAACTTTTCATATTATGTAAATTCTAGTGGTGACTGTTCATACTATGTAATTTCTAGAGGTGTCGACTGTTCAACCTTGTAAAATCTAGTGGCGAGTCAACGTTTCGTACAATTTATCCCAAATATTAATTATCATTAATTCTTTTAAAGAAATAGATACATTTTTTAAATCTCTCAAGCCGGACTGAAATATTCATCCAATTTATGAACTCTTATGCCATTAATTGTGATTCAGTGACCTATTACAGGTGTCTTATAATTCAATTAACTAAAAAAAAAAAATCGACATTTAAAAGAAAATCAATGTCAAGTGGCTTTTTTTCTGTCATACTCCATCTGTCTTTATAATGTCAGTTCCCTTCTTACATTAACCTAAATTCTCACCTGTTTGTAACACAGGCTGCCCTAATTTTTATTAGCAAAACGAAAAAAGTCATAGACATAAAATTATCATCTCTACAGACTATCTACATTCTTGAGTATTTTTTTCTCCCACTATAATCAGGCATGCAGTTCTATGCACTACAGACTGTGAAGGAATTGGCAAAGGGAAGACAAAAATGTGAAACATTCGTTTATGAGATTCCAGGCCCATTTCAGCCGCCACTTAAGCAAAGAATCTGATTATCCAGCAGTCGAGATGGAGTATACCAGTATATATATCTGCGAAAAACGACTTCTGTACGTTGGCCCTATCTGTGAAACTACACGCATTTCCTGATATATTTATCAGTACCATCGTAAAAAGTAGGCATGTTCAGTAGGAGAAAATGTTTTATTGTTGAATTTATATATCTCTAATTGCCACCAGGTTTGTATGGTAAAAAAAGTTTTCACATTCCTGAGTAATATTTTTGTTCTATTCCTGGAGAAAGCATCACTTTCCCTGTTCAAAACAAGACGTCAATTAAATGTCTGGGAGATTGGTATCCTCTTTTAAACTATTAAATTATCTAGGGTAAATTTGTACAAGTCAAGTGCAAAAAAATAAATCTTTCTATATTTATTTATAGCTCATTGATAATTAATAAACGATGAACTCTTTGATCTTGACATTTTAGATCATTTTTTTGACATTGTAAATCTCTCATGGTGCACTAAATAGAGTCCTTACGACCGAGGATAACCCTTGCATCATCGTGAACTGTTGTACTGACTTCACCTCCCTGCCACCCCCTCAAATTTTGATCAGTCAATTACTATTTTAATGGATTTTAATTTACTTGAACTGTATAGCAAAAGGTACAGATTTTGGTCAAAATGTACAAACAATGCAGAAAAACAATATAAATCTTATAAGTCCCATTACATTCATATATATTTCTTGCTTTGTCTTCTTTTTTAACGCCATCTAAAAACTGCAAAATCCAGACAGGAAAATAATATTATATATATAACATGAGAATTAGTCATGAGAATTATTTAGTAACCTGATATAGGTTATATGTTATGGGCTGGTGGCGTACATCAATAAATTCTGTTCTGTTCTGCTCTAGTACAGGTTTGCTTGATTGTATTTGCTCTTTCATAGTCTGCTGATTCCACAGTAACATTGCACATTTAGAGAATATCGTTCTGAACCACTGAATTTAATTAATCAAATGCACCACATCACTATCATGATTATTTATCTTTTTATTTTTAATGATTTTTTTTTCTTAAATTAAACATGAAATTTTTATAGGACTACTTTATCATTGTTTTGCTGTATAAATTACAGCTATTGTAAATATGCATTATAAATGCAGGTGGATGTCAAAGGGCACGACCACACATGACATTGGGAAGGCAAAATTTAACGGAATAAAAGAAGCTCTGGGATGAAACTTCAATATCGCAATAAATGAAAATTTCTGTTTAAAATTTTAGTTAGTATAAGTTATAATCAATTTTGAAAGCCGAGTTTCGTTTTCTTTTCCTCATCAAATATTGACGGCTACAGTAAGCTAAAATGTGCAAAAACTTATAAGGTTCAATCTCGTCTCATTTGAGCCACGTGTTGAATAAATCACATAAATTATATTTATGAATTATGAATATATATCTCCAAAGCATGATAAATTTATGCAAAGTGATCAAAGTAATAGCTGCTTCAATGCGACTCTCAAAGTAAATGACAAGCTATTCACCTGAACACATTTTTAATTTAATCCTAAAGATGGTTAAAATATAAATAGTACATGAAGCGTGAACAGTCAAAAGGATAAGAGAAAGTAAAAACGTACATTTAGTTGGGTATGTATTAAGACGTTATATGTTTAAAAGTGCGTCTAAACTATTTACGGTTTAATGACTCTACACCTACGTAAATTACGCTATTAAATTCATTATATTTCAATGTCATGACAATCAAAAAATATTAGCTTTCAGTTAACGGAGGATATTTTATATAGAGTTAGAAACCTTATACGTCTTGTCTGAACAAGTAGTATTTCATAGATCGCTCAAATGCTTGCATCATTAATTTAAAGCTTCAAGGTAACCAGGACAATTTAACTCCCTTAAGTAAATGTAACCTAGCCCCATTCAAACAAATCTAATCCATTTCAAATATGTGACTTAACATTTATCTGAAAACCTTTGAGTTTTGAGTGGCCTTCTTTCAGAACGAGAACAAAAATATTTTTGCAAAATTTCAATGACCTTAAAGTGATGAAATGATATATTCAAGGTAATATACTTCTACTGTACTGAAATGCATTTATAAATCTTGATTCAAATGATGATTAGCGATGAGTCAGTTGAATTGGAAATAAATTTCGCTTGAAGAGATAACTACAGTAAACCCCTGACTTATAACGATATCATTTGTAACAATATAAAGACATACAAGTTATAACGATTCTGTTGCCTTGGTCCGGACTCTTGTTTTGAAATTGGTTGCCCCTCGGATATAATGATACCCAGAATAACAATATAAATTTGACGGTCCCCTGGATATCCTTTTAAGCAAGTTTACTGTACTGTTTAGAAAGGAAAGTCATACAATTATTTTCAATTCATTGCCGCCCTAATAAATATGCTGACTTAGTTTATTTACTCAGGATGCACCGTTATCCAAGATTTGAATGTATTTTCAAAGATTCACTAAAACAAATCCGTTTTCTGGAAGAAGAAATGTCTGCGCTTTTTGGAAATGCCAATCTTTGCCTCAGGTTACTGCAGACTTATTTTACCATCATTTGCGACATTTTCTTTGACAATAGCTCCGCATTATTGCAATCGATGACACTATAGTCACAACAGATTTGGAAAGCTTCCCTGCAACTGATACTTTGGACAACGGGACAATTACAGGATAATGAAAAGGAATTACAGGCATTCCGTCGAGTATTACGGAACTTCTTATAACTATTGTAATATGTATAATGTCCTAGTTTTTCCAAAACAGGAATCAATACTGTTAATTCGGAAACACGTTTTTCTTCCTTGCATGACACTGTCAAGTGAACCTGCATCTTGCACTCGGTGAAATATGAAAACTGGTGAACCACAGAAGTTAGTGAAATATGAAAGTTTACAATATCCCTTTTAAACTTTTCATCTTAACAAATAACTTGCTAAATTTGTATAATGGACTAGCCCTCCTTTGAATTTTGAACTGTTCTTTGTTTATTTTAGGGGTTTTCATAATGAAAAAAGTTAATCTATAGCAAAATTCCACAACCTTTGCAAGATGACCTGTAATTTTATATCTGTGGCATAAGCACATAATTATCATCATTGCCAGAATTCACAGCAATGTTTTTTAACCATATAAATTGCCTCTGTGTCATTAATATAATTATATTCTTTCATTGTTATCATTCTATACAGGTCAAATACTCATTACTATATCAGATGTTCATAAAATTTTAATATTAACGATGTTTCATTCAACAGCATTGCAGAGTTTTAACCAAGAAAATTCGGAATTCCACCAATCAAAATTATACGGACATGTAATTCAGCCCCTTTGTCTTAATTTGCATGTTTTTACCCTACATTTTCAACTAAGGTGACTGACCCCCATCTTATTTGATCTTTGCGTCATCTTGATGATTTATTCCTCGGACATTTATCATAACCATCTCCTAACAGATTACATTTAACTGTCCTAACAACAGAAGCTTCGTTCCTTACATTGAAAATCAATACAATATCTACAGATGTTTCTTTCAGTGTGTGTTATACGAAAAGAAAAAATATATAGGAACTCGGCTTTTTTTTTTTTAATACACGTGTCAATGTAAGTTTTCCGTAGCGATTGTTTACAGCATGCCAATGGTACAGATGTTCATTTATTTCATAAACGACTTCTTCATGCCTTTGAGCAGACTAATTAGCGCCATTTGACTTTTATCTACAGAGAGCCACGTGTCTTACATATCTCAAGTAATGAAATCATAAACATAATTTACCCGACTATAACGATATTGCTTCTTGCATGTAGACGCACACTTAATTTCATATTTGATGAAAAATTATTAATAACGCTTGTTATTGTGAATTCTTCTTCTTTATTTTTACCATTCTTATGTTCTCATATATGCAAGTACTCTATTATCTCTCCTCAGTGTCATGGTACATGAAATGGAGAAGAATTTCTTTACAGTACTCATTCTATTTTCATGTCTCTTTATCATCCAGTTCTAAAAGGTCAGTGTGTGTTCTTTGGAAAAGGGTTAGTGTGTGTGTTCTCTTACAAAATATCACAGAACTGTTTCCTTATAATAATATATGTTTTAAACTGAATATATGAACCAGTCTTGATATATTAGCATCTGATTGGTTGATTCAATGATTAATATTGAAACTGACCAATGAAAATGCAACATTTTGAGACTGGTTTACAAATTCAAATTTTGTTCTTTTGGAATGACTGGTAAGGAAGCACTTACTTTTCCAAATGTTGAGAAATATTTCTTCACATCTTCTACTGTGGTCTGCGCAGACAATCCTCCTACAAATATTTTCTTGGTCTTGGTCACCATCTGGAAAAGGAAATATCAATAATATGAAATAGGTGGATACATATAACCTTGGAAATGCTGAACCCAAAGATGGACTGCCTTTGCCATAGGAGTATACAGTCAGACCAGTCTGCAAATAATTGTGCCATCTGACCAGACTCTATACATCAGGCTGACCAACTTCAGAATTATTTATTGGACTGTTCCAGGGCAGAAGAATTTATTGGACTGTTCCAGGGTAACTTCTTTGCACAATGTCAATGTACTTATCAAAAGCATGTATATATATATATATCGCCTACTTTAATGCAGCAACAGTTTAAAATCTATTCAATTGTAATAGCAGAACAATGTTCTTTCAAAAATCTTAATCTTATATATACATTTTTAGAAATTTTGTTAAAAGTTTACAAAAATATTTATATAAATTCTTTCAAAACTGATTTAAAAAGTATGTAGTAAAAGCAACAAGAGGCTTCCCTTTGTGTATACAAATGAATGGCAGTCAACTTTTGACACTTCTTTGCGATCACACTATTATAAACCTTTCAAAAAAACTTTCAAACCCTGTCATTTTCTTGATGTTTTAAGCCATTATTTAAAGTAGTCAGAAACCAAATTTTCTTGTTCAGATGAGTGAACATAAACAACTTAGTGATAAAGGAAGATCGGAGTATGGTATGAATGATAAAATCACAACGGTATAATTTTGTTCGGCCTGTGTTTACATTATAATAACAGATGACCATCTTACCGAGCTAGTTCAGCCATATCTACAAAAATAACAGTCTAAACCTTTGTTGTCAATATGAACACAAGATTTTAGTACTCTCCACAGTTAAAAATACATACATCGATATTATAATAAACATTACAATCGAATGGACCAAAAAAAAACCTAACATACCACCATACCAACATGCCATAAAAGTATTAAAAATAAATCCGGACCAAAGTTTGATTCTTACGTAAGTGATTGTTGAATTCTGCACCGTAAGTGATTGTTGAATTCTGCACAAGTGTAATCAAATACCAACATGATCCCAGTTGGGCGGAAAGAGTCCTAATATTCACGCGCATACACAAACCACTTTTCATCAAGGTAAATTTTGAAGTGCGATCTTATAAAGTCCTTTACATCAATGAAACTTCCAGGAAAATATCAGCCCATCTTCACGGATTAGTCTGCATGTCTTGAAGAGGAATGTTTGGACAGAACAACCCGTTTTTCGTCTCTTGAGGGGGATTTTGATAATGGTAAAAGTGACAATATCAGCAGGACATTGAAGAGTATCTTTAAAAGCTTAGTGGTACAAGTACCGAGATAAAAAAATCAGAACAAACCCACTTGAGAAAAGTGCACAGAAGTGAAAAATGGAAAAGAAAGAACCGAAAAAAACTCTGCTTATCAGTGCAGATGTGTTTTATATAATTAAATTTATGACACCTGTTTGAAAGGTTTAATTTTTACAACAGGTTCTTAATTAAAACATGCCAGTGAACAAACAAAAGAATATTTGTCTTTACTTCAATCAACATCTATCCGAAGAAAACTTAAAAACAAACATGGGTTGTAAATTAAATCAAATAAAAGACAAAAGTAGATGAAATTCATGAAACAACAAACAATTAGTGTGTGTATGAAATTTATTGTTAAGATAACTATAGTTTACATCTCTTAAGTTTTTTTATAAAGAAACTGTTCTTCATTATTTTTGGAACTTTATCCATTGTTATTCTTAGATATTTCAATTTTAAATTCAAAATGTTGAAAACTCTGCAACGGACAGAGTAGTCTCGTGTCTGCATGGTCAGACAGCGAAGACGTGCCGAGTTATGACCGCAAATATTACAAGCAAAACTTGCCTTCATGTTGTATGATTCAAAGACTTCAAGCACACCTTAAGGTGCATCATTATTATTACCACTTGCATAATAATTATGTACATGCATTATATAACTAAAAGAAAGTGACAAATCATCAAAATCTGGGGAAAAAACAACAACAATATAAGATCTGAAAGATAATAGCATTGGTAAGTACAGTGCACCAGTTACCTATCAGTAAACTACATGACTGTCTTGAAATCAAAGAAGCTATTCTCCCACACTACAAAGACCAAGGTGACAAAAGACAACCTTAAAATTACAGTCATTAACGTTCGACCGCCCAAGAAAAACAAGGCCAAACAACTTTCGACCCTATCAGATTGTGTGAAATGAAAACTTTTTAATAACCAACGAAAAAGATCTCTTCATGATTGTAAAAACTAAAAAGAAAAATTCGCTTACGTTTTTGACAAGTCTTTTGTTTCAAACAAGAAAGCTGACCTTGGTCTAAATAATGATTAAATCTATAATGTATGTTTTCTTTTATCAGAGTACCCGGTAACAATAAAGATTTGAATAAGTATATTCGTGTCACTTTCTCTTCGGTTTTAGCGCTTTCATTTTTTTTTTCCTCGTTTTTATTTTGTATCTTAACTCATTTGAGTGTAACTGAATGACTGGTTTGTAATTTGCATAATGTAGATTGTATACAAAGTCTTGACTGCTGCTCAAATTTTATTAAAAGAATTATAATAATGTGTATATATACAACTAAAAATGGTGTTAATAATTCAAATGCAAGCATCTGATAGGGATATTCTCAAATTAAAACAACCAATGAAATATTGCTTATGAGGGATCAACCCTTTTCCAGACTTTTATTCCAGACTGACCCAAAACATGATTTCGTTGGAAAAAAACAATTTATTGAAAATGGAAAGCGGCCATTAAATACTTTTCAAACGGAGATGAAGGAAAGTAACGTCAGAAATACATGAAAGTCTTAGGATGACAATTATTGTACTGAAACAAAAGTTAAATAGGAAAGCGCTGGAAATAAAACCATTCCAGAAAACGATGGAAACTTGATTATCGATAATGACGTTGAGTTTAATTACTGCCACTGCACACGCCTTGTGTAAGTTGCTCTTTATTTAGATTAAAAGGTGTCGTGCCTGGCACATATACCAACAATTAGGAAACAAAAGCCTTAATCAACCTTACAATATTTTCACTATGAGCCAATCAATTGATACGATCCTATCATTAGAAGAGAACAAACTGCTAGCTTTTATACACGTTGTTAGAAATTTACTAAATACACATACAATCCGTGCTGTTGCATATTTGATTGTTTTTTATTTGAATAGAACAGCTGTTCAGTGATGTAAATATCGTACAAAACCTGCCCTAATACGATCAATCTCGGGGACGTAAAATGGCGTAAAATCAATTGGTTTATTACGAATGAATTACCCTTAAAATAGGATAAGACATGTAAAACATTTGTAATCAATGAATAATGAACTGTACACTAACATTAATGAGCTCGGATCAAAAACAGGCAGAAAAATGCGTACAAACTACCATCTCTGATAATACCAGCTGTTTAATTGGATACGATATCTTTGATATCGCATTTTGTAATTGATAAATCCAGCATACTAGACTAACTTAACTGTAACATTCTCTAATCATAGGTATTAAAAGTATTAAAATGTTATCAAAATAAAATTCAAAAAAACTTGAATTAAATCTTTCCAATCTTAATATAGAATAAAGATTGCTTTCAAAGTTAATGGCCTTTTCCATTAATACAAAATGTATCAGTTTTATAAATGTTTTAAATTTTATAAAAACTTTTAATCATGGCAAAAAAAAAACTGTTGTATTTTCTATTTTTTAAATAGGAACCAACACCCTTTAATTTTTTTCCCTCAGCTTTACGTTTTAAACACCTTTCTGATTTCGCAGTTACCGAAAATAAATGTTTAAGAAGTGTTATAACCATTGCCAAATTTGTACATGTAAAGTACAATACATGTGCTGACAAACTTTCCGATATATATCACAATATAATGGCCGATCATTATGTACAATTTGAAAGAAATTACTGTCGGCAACAAGTTTTGTTTTCACAGTTAGGTACAGTCGACAAACACTGTATCTCCAGATCACAATGCATGTTTGCTTTTCTTTTCACCGTTACAAAACATGAAAGGTTTTCTCTATGAAAGCTATGTAAACTTTGACATAAACATTTCCTTTAAATTAGAGACCTTCTTATATAAATATATCTACAAGTGGATACAAAATATCAATAGACAAAAACTGCGTATTTACTTATGAACAAAAGTTGAATGATTGCAAGGCAGTTAGAAAAGACCAGTGTCGAACACAAACGGAAAACTATGTTTATTCTGTTTGTTCTATACAGAACGTTCTCACGCAAGAGGTTACGCAATAAATTCTTACTTTGCAATAATATTTCATTTAATTTGTACTTATATACAATACCTTGGTTCATATTATAAGTCAATTTTAACCTATTAGTCATGTCTTCAAAGTCACAAATACCTTAACAATAACCTCAGGCTTTCAGATTCATATCTCTAATAGACGCAAGCATCTTTTGTAAAATGGGAGAAAGAAATTGCATCTTTATAATATAAATCTATATAAACAAAATCGCAGCGACATATTCATTCAATTTAAGTTACATTTCTACCATTTCTTTCTCCTTATAAGATGCAAATGCACTCACAAACAGATAAGAAGGTTTTCTTAACCAAATTGCCTTTCAGAAGAGAGGAAAAAAACGTCTTAAAGTAAAGCATCGTTCTCTTTACTCTGTAGAAAACGATACCTTAACACTTCGTTACCAAAAATAGATGTTTCTAAGTCTCTGGCATTTCCATAATCCGATCCAATTAGAGGAAACCGTTAGAGAAAGAAGAAAGATAGTCGATAAATATTGAATTTTTATACCATCACAGATCCTGACGTCGCTTGATCCGAAAGCAGAATCTCTGCCGGGCTGAGTGAGATATTGTCTCTTATGTTTATTTGATCAGTCGGTCTACCATACAAAACTAAACAAGCATTTTATACAATTAACCAAAGCATGGCTTAACCCCTAGACTTCCATATATCATATTACAAAAATAAAACGACCAGTGATAAATCAACTA